AAGGGGGCAGAGGGAGCTGTTGGGAACTGTTGTAATTACCAGAGAAGAGACAAATGATGATGGCTGGGATGTGAGTAGAAGCTATGAAGGCAGCAGGTTGCACTGATGGATAAGGAGAGAGAGGGCTCTATGCCTCACCTACTAAAAGACATGAAGAAAGAGCAAGGTTTTTGTTTTTGTTTTAGTAGGGAGGTGTTTGGGGAGGTTGTTTTGGAAAACCAAGTGGATGTTGAATATACACTGGATATACAAATCTAAAGTTCAGAGAAAGATCGGGCTGAAGAAATAAATTTGGGAATTGTAAGTAAATAGTTGTGTTTTTTTATTTTCAGTTTTACTGTGTTGCCTTCGTTTTAATATGACTCGTTTATTTACAAGTTTATATAATTTAATTTGTAATATGGCTTGTGTGTGTTTTTGTTTTGTTTTGGGCAGGTGCCCCAGGCCTTTGTCATCTTCATGCTCATGGCTTGTATTTAAAACTGGCTCAAAAAATTCCTAAAAATTTAATTACCGAGTCAGGAGAGCTCTAATGAGCTGGCTCCAGCCCACAGCTGTTCCTTTCTTTCATTCAACAATTTCACAAATCCTGATGGCTCTATATTCAAAACATGTATCTTGAATCTGATCATTTTTCGATAAAATAGATAGTTCTGTACTACAGTAATAGATAATGCTAGAAAAAATAATTAAAGCTATAGATCCCATTTATTGTAGGTTTACTAATTGTCAAGCACTACGGCGCCTCTCTGGATTGATTCATTCCCTGCAAAGAAAATAGATAGGAGATATGTCTACGAGGAACTAGAAACGGCAGTAGTCTCCGTGCTGTGATCCGCTTTCCTAGGGAATTTTTTCTGGAATTCAAGCAGCAGCAAGTAACCCATTTCGCCCTCCGTCTCTGCTCCAGGGTAAGCCCTGGCAGTATTCCTACCTGGAACCTGCATTGGCATACCAAGCTGTGCCCGCGCTCGCTCCAGCCCCTGCGCACACGCACAGAAGCTCGCTCCCGGGGGCGGGGCCTGAGGGAGATGGGCGGGGCCTGAAGCCGCCGGGAACTCCTGCAGACCGCGTTGCTAAGAGACGCGAGGATCGCAGAGGCCACAGCACTTGGCCTCTCGCTGGCCCTGCCCGCTGATCCCGAGTAGAGAACGCTAGCACCGCCGCGCCCGCTTGCGAGCTCCCAGGCACCCCCGGCCTCTCCTGCTCGGCGAAGAGAGGATAACCCCGGAGAGCCGGCCCCAGGAGTGGGTGGATGCGTCGCCGGGCCCTCCCCGCCAACCCCTGTGCCCCGGCCGTAGCCCCGCCCCGGAAGTCCTTGCCCCGCCTTCTCCGCTCTGTGGTTCTCTGTTGTCTACTGAGGTTTGCCCATGTGATCTCGTGGTTTTCTAGTCTCCTCCGTATTTTTCAGGGTGGAGGGCCTTCCAGAGTCTCAGGGTTCGGTTCTCCCGAAAGTTTCCCGGCTGCCCCGCGATCCCTTTGGCTTTAGGGGCCGCGACTCGGAGGGCTTTCTGATGCGGGCCCTTGATTTTGGAATACTGCGCTTTGTCCATCCCAGCTTTCTCCAGGCAGATTTCACCTTCCACACAGTTGGTGGTTTGTGGCAGAAAGGAAGTTGGAGGGATGGGGACTGCTGGTTAGCTCTGGGGGCCGGGAGGGAGCGGTTTTGTGCTGCACACCTGCAGGTTATCACGCCCAGAGCAGGGACCACCAGGCTCGCTTTTGGGAACCACTTTTGTCTTTCAAATGAACTCCCAACGACAGCAGACGGGACTTTAGGACGTTAGAGACCATCTAATGCTTCTCTTTCAGTTCAAGAAACAGGCACAGGCGTGTTCATGGCCTTGTCTAAGGTTACCTGCTAGTTACGGGTCTCCTGCTGCCTCTTACGAACAGGAATAATCTAATAGGAGAAAAAAATGAACTATTAGGGAGGCTAATGTTCTTGAGGTTTTAATACTACTAAAGGTAAAAGCACTTTTCAGAGTGAAATGGAAGTACAGAGGGAATTTGGGATGGCTGACTACATCAGAAGCCTGTGTTACAACTTTAGATTGTCAGGGATTTGAGATGGTGGGTTTTTATGTCCTACACGAAAACCTGCAATAAATGCTTCTCGATTTAACCATGGGGTTATGTCCCAATAAAGTCATGGTAAGTCGAAAATGCATTTAATGCACCTAGCCAACCTTAAACGTCTTCAGAACACCTTATCTAGCCTGCAGTTGGCAACATCATCTAACACCAAGCCTGTTTTATAATAAAATGTTAACTCTGTCATGTAACTTATTGAATACTGTATTCAAAGTGGAAAACAGAATGGTTGTATGGGCATTCGAAGTACAGTTTCTAGTGAATACGTATTGCCTTTGCACCATAGTAAAGTGGAGGTACGAGCTGAATCATTATCTGTATGCATATAAACCCTAAGTGTTTAATACAATTCAGTTTCACAAACCAGAAACTCAGGCAATGCCGTTACCTGTTTGTGGAGATACAACTTGGTATTTTAACATAACACGTATGTATGTGTGTATGCATTTTTTTTTTTTTTTTTTTTTTTTTTGAGGCAGGGTCTCTTGTCTCCCAGGTTGGAGTGCAGTGACTCGATCACAGCTCACTGTGGCCTCAACCTTGGGGGCTCAAGCAGTCCTCCTACCTCAGCCTCCCCAGTGGCTGAGACTACAGGCATGGGCCACCATACCCAGCTAATTTTCTCTTTTGTAGAGACGGTCTCACTATGTTGCCCAGGGTGGTTTTGAACCGTTGGACTCAAGTGATCCTCCCCGCTCCCTCCCTCTTTCCCCCTCTTGTCGCCAGGCTTCCCAACCGCCCCTTGACTCTTCTCTCCCGCTTTTCCGTCGTTTGGTCTGCTCCCGGCGGTAGCCGGTGACCTCACGGTAGGGGTCCGCGGAGGCAACACTACGGGCTCTTGGGACCGTCAAGCGCCCCCTGCCGGCGTCTAAAGCCATATCACCCTGATCTCGGAAACTAAGCAGGGTCGGGCCTGGCCAGTACTTGGATGGGAGAGAGCCTGGGAAAACTGGGTGCTGTAGGCTTTTGGCTCCCCGCTCCCTCCTACTTTCCCTCTAGTGTCTCCGGGCTTCCCAACCGCCCCCGTCTCTTCTTTCCCCCTTTTCCACCCGGTCTCAGAAAGAGCTGGGATTACAGGCATGAGCCACTGCATCCAGTCATTAAATGTATTTTTTAATCAATTTTTTTTTGGCACAATTGCCAGTAAAGAAGCCACTCAGTCTCCAAGTGCTCAGTATTACTACTAGCAGAATTAGTACTGCCACTGAATTCCTAGAATCATTGAAAAATTTAATCAAGGAATTATAAGTTGATCTTTCCTAATTTTAGTTTCATTTTGTTTTTTAAATAAACTGAAAGGCAAAAAAAAAAAAAAAAAAAAAAAAAAAAATTTGCACCACCACTTATATAGCATAGTTATAGTAGTCACTAGAGTTCCTATGATGGTGAAATTTACATTCGTATTCTCTTTAAGTATTTTGGGAAAATAAACTTTTGAAATGCTTAATAGTAACGGGAAAATGTCTATTTCTACTGAGAAAAGTGGTGATTTCCCCCAAAGTCCAATTGAACACAGCTTATTTTCTACTTTTCTATTAAATGTAGCATTTTTATGTATAGTTGACATCATTTTTTGAGCTGAAAGTGACAAAAGGTTATATAGATGACATTCAAGAAAATACGTTTTGAGTGAATATGAGCAAAAAACCAAGCCTAAAGCAAAAAAAGCTTTGATAAGACAAAAATTAAGATTGTATTACTACTTTTCGGAAATGTGCTTCATCTGTAAAAGTCCTGTAAGTAATGGCCACTAAACTCATATACAAATATGACTTTGAAAGTATTTTAATACAATGAGTTCACTTTTTTTTTTTTTTTTTGAGACGGAGTTTCCCTCTTGTTACCCAGGCTGGAGTGCAATGGCGCGATCTCTGCTCACCGCAACCTCCGCCTCCTGGGTTCAGGCAATTCTCCTGCCTCAGCCTCCTGTGTAGCTGGGATTACAGGCACGCACCACCATGCCCAGCTAATTTTTTGTATCTTTAGTAGAGACGGGGTTTCACCATTTCGACCGGGATGGTCTCGATCTCTTGACCTCGTGATCCACCCGCCTCAGCCTCCCAAAGTGCTGGGATTACAGGAGTGAGCCACCGCGCCCAGCCCACTTTTTAATTTACTGTTTCTTAGAACCTGTTTCCTCTGTAATATATATACATTTTTAAGCCAAAGTTTCACTCTTGTTGCCCAGGCTGGAGTGCAATGGTGCTATCTCATCTCACTGCAACCTCCGCCTCCAGGGTTCAAGAGAATCTCCTACCTCACCCTCCCAAGTCGCTGGGATTACAGGCATGCACCACCACTCCTGGCTAATTTTGTATTTTTAGTAGAGACAGGCTTTCACCATGTTGTCCAGGCCAGTCTCAAACTCTTGACCTCAGGTCTCCTGACCTAAGTCTCCCAAAGTTCTGGGATTACAGGCCTGAGGCACCATGTCCAGCCTTTCCTTTTTATACTTTAATCTATTTCTTGAATATCTTGACTTTTTAACATAATAAGCATTTGTCATTGTGATTGAAAAAATTTCAAAAATATTAATTTATTTACAAGATCTGACTTTAATGTGTTTCAGCCAATAGAAATATTTTATTTATTTATTTAGAGACTTGCTCTTTAGCCTTGGCTGGCGTGAAGTGGTACAACCTTGGTTCACTGTAACCTCCACCCCTCGGGTTCAAGCGATTGTCCTGCCTCAGCCTTCCAAGTAGTTGGGATTACAGGTCCCTGCCACCATGCCCAACCAATTTTTTGTATTTTTAGTAGAGACAGGGTTTTGCCATGTTGGCCAGACTGGTCTCAAATGCCTGACCTCAGGTGATCCACCTGCGTTGGCCTCCCAAAGTGCTAGGATTACAGGTGTGAGCCACCTCTCCCCGACAGAAATATAATGGGAGAATAGATTCAAAGAATCATGATGAAAATTTTGGACACTTTATTTCAGTTAAATGACTAATATATTTTGATAATAGAAGAAATCACTGAGAAAACAAGTGCAATATTATGCCTTTGAAAATCTCGAAGTTTGGTGAATAGACGATGATATGAACTAAAGTCGTATATTTGACTTTCTAAGACTATTAGTGACCTCTTACATTGTTTTTAAATCCATGATCTCAGTACTGTGACAGCCATGCAGTGTGCATGGAATGTGTATTAGTCTATCTTCTCACATTCATTCATCAAAGAATCAGGCACTACAGTGACCTCAGTACATTAATTGCAGCAATTGAGATGTCTCCAAGTAATTAAGAATTGAAAATGAATAAGCCCTTCCTTCCCAGAAACAGGGAAGAGAGTGAGAAGACAGATCTTACATTCCCTTTTTAAGAGAGGGAAAGAGAGATACAGTGTGGAACGTAACTAAATGGAATGGTGGTGGATATTTTGACAATCTACTGAACATATTACTGGAACTCTAGTATTTGTATACAAATATACAGCTCTTAGAACAGCACTCCATAACTACAACTCTGACTGCAATTTTATTGATAAAGAAATAAACAGTTTTCTGTGTATCTTTCGGGGACTTGGGGTTTTTGTTTGTTCATTTGTTACATTTTTATCTCCACAAAATAGAGCATGAATCCTTCTCAATCTTGGAACTGTATGTCTAAAAAACTAATATATTTAATGGGATTCTTAACTTTGTATATAATTTTTAAGTGTTAGTTTTGTTTATTCTTAAAGGGAATTTCAAAATTGGCATTATTACATTAACTGCTAATGTTGTTTTAACATCTTTCAGAAATTATTGGTAATAAGGCCCCTGTAACCATGGCTAGTTCCGACGTGAAACCAAAATCAGTAAGTCGCGCCAAAAAATGGTCAGAAGAGATAGAAAATCTGTACAGATTTCAACAAGCGGGATATCGGGATGAAATTGAATATAAACAAGTGAAACAAGTTTCTATGGTAAGAACAAACCTGAACTCAAAGAGTTTCTTAGATGCTGAAAAGTATTTTATAAACAACCAGACAAAAACTGAAGAGAATTCTCTCCAATTCTCTCATTTTATTTATTTATATTTATTTTATTTTATTTTTTGAGACAGTGTCTCATTCTGTCACCCAGACTGGAGTACAGTGACACAATCTCGACTCACTACAACCTCCACCTCCTGGGTTCAAGGGATTATCCTGCCTCAGCCTCCCAAGTGGCTGGGAATACAGGCGTGCACCACCACGCCTGGCTAATTTTTGTATTTTTGTAGAGATAGGATTTTGCATGTTGGCCAGGCTGGTCTTGAACTCTTGACCTCAAGTGATCCACCTGCCTCGGCCTCCCAGAGTGCTGGGATTACAGGGGATAGCCATGGCGCCCGGCCAGACTCTCTCATCTTATTAAGTGGGAGAGGCCCAGAAGGTTGATTTGCAGGTAGAGTCGGGGAAGAGGTGTTCATTCAGCTGGGCACATTCAGAATTTTCTATGTTTTATTGAGCAACTATGCTCTGCTAAATGAATCTTTTATGGTAGATCACAAAAGCAGAATCTTTTTCCTTCACTTGGGTAATTTTATTATCAGATAATCAGTTTGTTGTGTAACTGTTATTTCCTTCCTGTTACTTTTTATTTTAACCATGAATTAGAAAGAGGTTAAAATTCTGTTTTTTTGTTTTTTGTTTTTTTAAGACAGAGTCTCACTTTGTCACCAGGCTCCAGGCTGGAGTGCAGTGGCACGACCTCGGCTCACGGCAACCTCCACCTCCCAGGTTCAAGCAAGTCTCCTGCCTCAGCCTCCCAAGTAGCTGGGACTACAGGCACGTGCCACCGTGCCCAGCTAATTTTTTTGTATTTTTTAGTAGAGACGGGGTTTCACCATGTTGGCCAGGATGGTCTCAATCTCTTGACCCCATGATCCACCCGCGTCGGCCTCCCAAAGTGCTAGGATTACAGGCATGAGCCACCGCGCCCGGCCAAAATTCGTTTTTTTTGTTTGTTTGTTTCTTTGTTTTGTTTTTTATGGCGATTATACCTTATAAACAAAAGTGTCAGAAAACAACTCCTGACTTTAGGAGTATATTCCAGGCTTCCCTCAGAGAGTGGAGACCTAGTTTTGCTTTATGAAGACTAGAGCAAAGTCTCGATGTGCCTCCCGTTGACACCGTGTGGTTCTTTTTAACTTATTTATTCTGTTGGCTACTAAGAGATGGATTTTTTACAAATTCAGTTGACCCCTTACCAATACAGGGAGTAGGAGCTTCAGTGCTTCATGCAGTCAAAAATTTGTGTATAACTTTTGACTTCCTAAAATAACTACTGGGGGTAACTCCCCAAAATAACTATTACTTCCTGTTAACAGGATGACTTGCCCATTGATCAGCCCAGGGATACACTAATATCTTTATATATTTTACACATTCATGACAAACCTTTTTCTTATTTTCTTTTTATATTTCTAGTCTATGTGGTTTGCAAGTTTTTTCAAATTGTTGCAAATCTCAAAAAAAAGTCAACATATTTTTTGAAAAAACTCCATGTATGAATGGACTCCCCAAGTTCAAACTTACGTTGGTCAAGGGTCACCTGTATTGCAGAATATGACATAGTATTTGTAAGTATATTTGCATTTTTAGTTTGGGGTTATAACAGTGTTTATCAACTCCATTGTTTATTTTCATTACTTTTTACTAACTCATTTTTCAGAGACTAATGTGTGGAGTTTGTAGGTTGCTATGATCTCTTGTTTCTTTTTCTTTTATACTACTCTTGACCTCTACTTAAAAATTGCTTTAAAAGTACATAGGAGGCTTGGAGCAGTGGCTCACACCTGGAATTTCAGCACTTTGAGAGGCTAAGGTAGGTGGATCACTTGAGGTCAGGAGTTTGAGATCAGCCTGGCCAACATGGTGAAACCCTGTCTCTACTAAAACTACAAAAATTGACCAGGCATGGTGGTGCGCACCTGTAGTCCCAGATACTCGGGAGGCTGAGGCAGGAGAATCACTTGAGCCCAGCGGGGGAAGGTTGCATTGAGCCAAGATCACACCACTGCACTCTAGCCTGGGCAACAGAAGAGGACTCCATCTCAAATAAATAAACAAATAAATAATAAAATAAAATGGAAGAAAAGTACATAGGAAAAAGGGTGGAGGCAATACAGAACTAAAATGGAATTGCCTTTTTAATAGACATTAATTTAGCAGACATTGTTGAGGTTGTATAACAATGAAATTTAAAATACTGATCAAATGAAGATTGATTACTATGATTTTCATATATCTGTCTTCTCAGCCATTTTACTCTATCCCCATTGCCAAGGATAATTTTCATTACTGTATCATCTATGGCTTTTAAATAGATAAAACACAAGCATTATCATTTTTATGCTTTTTAAAATAAGCTTCATACCTTGCCTTAAGATTGGGAAGCCCCTAAAGATATACTAGCCTCAGTCGTAGGTGGCCAGGTGTGGTGGCTTACACCTCTAAGCCCAGTGCTTCAGGAGGCTGAGGCTGAAGGATCACTTGAGGCCAGGAGTTCAAGACCAGCCTCAGCAACATAGTGAGACCCCATCTCTACAAAACAATTTTTTTATTTAGCCATGCATGGTGGAGTGTCTCTGCAGTCCCAGCTACTGGGAGGCTCATGTGGGAAGATTGCTTGAGTGCAGGAGATCAAGGCTGCAGTGAGCTGTGATCACATCACTGCACTCCAGCCAGGGTGACAGAGCAAGATCCTGTCTCAAAAAAAGAAAGAAAGAAAACAAGTCAGAAGAATTTAATGTAATCTCATTTTAAGTGCCTGACATTATAGTGCTCATAATTTGTTGGGCTGGGAATGGTGGCTCATGCCTGTAATCCCAGTACTTTGGGAGACCAAGGCAGGTGGATCACCTGCAGTCAGGAGTTCGAGACCCGCCTGGCCAACATGGTGAAACCCCCTTCTCTATTAAAAAATACAAAAAATTAGCCAGGCATGGTGGTGCACACCTGTAATCACAGCTGCTAGGGAGGCTGAGGCAGGAGAATCACTTGAACTTGGGAGGCAGAGGTTGCAGTGAGCAAGATGTCACCACTGAACTCCATCCAGCCTGGGCAACAGAGTAAGACTCCCCTCCAAAAAATTTGTTGACTGAAGAAACAGTAAGTGTTTAGTGAATGGTAGCTTTAATTAATCTCATCATCTTAGAGTCTAAGATAAGTAACAAGAATAATAAAACCTTATACAAGTCAAAGCATATGTGCCTTAACAAAAAGAAGCACAAGGATTTAGAGGAAAACAAAATCACTTCCTTTTGGGGACAAACCCCAGAGAGGGCTTCACGTCCCCAGTGGCATTTGCAGTGGGTCCTCAGGGACAGATAGGATGGTGACTGAAGGCTTGCTTTGGCTGGGATGTTTCTACCAGTGTGCAGTGGTTTGAGGGTTTGAGAGTTGTTTTTCTGTAGCTGGTGGTACTGTGCTTGCTGACCTTCCCTCCTGAAGAGAATATCCTTGAACTTGAGAATCTCATTCCATTCTACCACAGGCAAGTAGGTTTCCTAGATCAAATGGAAATGATTAAGTTCAAAGTCAAGAAGAAAAAAGTTCAGGTGTGCCAAGGGGTATCAAACGGAAAAAATGTTTCTGGGTGTGGTGGCTCATGCCTGTAATCCTAGCACTTTGGGAGGCCGAGGTGGGTGGATCATGAGATCAGGAGTTCAAGACCAGTTTGGCCAAGATGGTGAAACCCCCTCTTTATTAAAAAAATACAAAAAATTAGCCAGGCATGGTGGCAGGTGCCTGTAATCCCAGCTACTCAGGAGGCTGAGTTAGGAGAATTGTTGGAACCTGGGGAACGGAGATTGCAGTGAGCTGAGATCGCACCACTGCAGTCTAGCCTAGGCGACAGACTGAGACTCCCTCTCAAAAAAAAAAAAAGTGTCTAGAAGTCAACAAGCCTAGGACCAACCTAGCTGTCCTAAGGATTATCCCATAGAAAGTAGCTTCAGATGATCGGAAGAGGCAGTGGTTGCACTGTTTCCTCACTGGATGAGATGGTTTTCAGGATCCAAGTAGAGAATCTGCTCCTGGCCGGGGATGGGAAGAGGGCTGTAATGGAGTCTTGAGAACACCTCCTTTCCCTGCTGAAGGCGTTGGAAGCCACACAGGCGTGGCCTCAGTGATGGAAAGGACTGCCAGTTCTCTGTAACTTATGTCATAGGGCCCGCCAAGGCTTCTCAGAGATGCTGTTACCTATTCTCCCTAATTAATTCATAACTAAATGAGACGACACCAAGAATGAAGATGTGTTATTAGAAAATAAAAGACATGGGGACACAGATGGTATATTCCTCTCTACTTCCTACTGAAAGCTGAGATTTATTAGTGGGGAATAGAACAGGTGCAGGACTGCCTTACAGGTCGTGTTGAAGAACAGGATTTGGTTTTCTAAAACCTGGATAATGAGTTTTTGATCATGATAAAGATTTCACAAAATCTGAAAGGAACACATTTGACAGTAGCAAAATACATGAACATTACTAGGAAGGCATAACATTGAAGAGGAAGCGGGGAGACAGATCTCCAAATTAGATCAAGCCAAACGATAAAGTAAACAAACCAATATGTTATACAAGAAGGAGTGGTAGGAGATGGCTGGGCACATGGCTCACGCCTGTAATCCTAACACTTTGGGAGGCTGAGACAGGAGGATCACTTGAGCCCAGGAGTTTGAGACCAAACTGGGCAACAAATGATAATAATAATAATAAAGAATGGTAGGAAAAGTAAAAAAGGATTTTTGACACTTTGGGAGGTCAAGGTGGGAGGACTGCTTGAGGCTGAGTCTGAAACCAGCCTGGGCAACATAGTGAGGCCCTGTCTCTCCAAAAACAAAAAGAAACCTTATCTGGACATGGTGGCGCATACCTGTATTTCCAGCTACTCTGGAGGCAGAGGCTGGAGGATCCCTTGAGCCCAGGAGGTTGAGGCTGTAGTGAGCTATTGATCACACCACTGCACCCCAGCCTGGGAGACAGAGTGAGGCCCTGTCTCAAAAAAAAAAAAATAAAAGAAAAAATGTCAAGGTGAACTTGAAGTTGGGGCAGAAGGAAATGTGTTTACACCTTTGGATAGTTCCTGAGTTGCTTGCTTTATTTTACTCACTGTGTAGTTACCAACAATCAGCAGGCAGTGCTTTCGAAGTGGGGCCTGGGCTTAGACCTGATGTCCTCCTGGGGTGTTAATTTTAGAAGTTGCAGTGTTTGCAGTCTTTTGTAAACATAAGAAGAATGAAGTTTAGATTATTTTGAGTGTTTTCTCTTACCATGGCCACAGTATGGAAATTTAAATCTAGAAACTGGAGCTGGGTACAGTGGCTCAGGCCTGTAATTCCAGCACTTTGGGAGGCCGAGCTGGAAGGATCACTTGACCCTAGGAGTTTGAGGTCAGCCTGGGCAATGTAGCAAGACCCCATCTCTAAAATAAATAAAATAAACCTAGATATCGGGCTATAGAGAAAAGCACTGAATTAGCTGTCTTTTTTATTATTATTATTTTGAGACAGGGTCATGCTCTGTCACCCAGGCTGGAGTGCAGTGGCACGATCTCAGCTCACTGCAACCTTTGCCTCCTGGCTTTAAGCAATTCTCCTGCCTCAGCCTCCCGAGTAGCTGGGATTACAGGCACCTACCACCATGCCCAGCTAAATTTTGTATTTTTAGTAGAGATAGGGTTTCACCATGTTGCCCAGGTTAATCTTGCACTCCTGACCTCAAGTGATCCACCTGCCTCAGCCTCCAAAGTGCTGGGATTATAGGCACGAGCCACGGCACTCAGCCTGAATTAGTTGTCTTATAGTATGAGGCTGCAATGTAAGATGTGTCTTGTGGGTATAACACTTTAAAAGCTCAAGCATTTTAAAATCTAATCTTATACTTTGTTGGTGTGAGTCATACTTTTTAACTATTTGATAGGAAAATATGAGATAAAAATAAAGCTGGTGTTACAAAATTTGTATTCTGGTTCTTGATGCGCAGGTAGACCGCTGGCCAGAGACAGGATACGTGAAGAAACTTCAGAGAAGGGACAATACATTCTATTACTACAACAAACAGAGGGAGTGTGACGACAAGGAGGTCCACAAAGTGAAAATGTATGCTTACTAGCCTGTCTTCTTTGTGTTGCTTGTCGATTACATTTTAAGAATTCATCATTTACTTCTACATCGTGTAAATGTTTGTCAGTTTATGAAATAATGCAAAATGCAGTCTTCAGTTCAATGTTTGGTGAAACACAAAAGCCATGAGAATCGGTATCTGTTAATCACTTGTTCTGTTCTAAGAACTGGCTGCAGACGCATTAAAGTTGTACCTTCTCAGTCCTGCTCTTTCTGTCCATTTCATTTTATTTTGAGACAGAGTCTCACTCTGCTACCCAGGCCGGAGTGCAGTGGTGCAATCTCAGCTCACTGCAACCTCTGCCTCCCGGGTTCAAACGATTCTTGTGCTTCAGCCTCCCAAGTAGCTGGAATTACAGGTGTGTGCCACCACACCCAGCTAATTGTTGTATTTTTAGTAGAGAAAAGGTTTCATCACATTGGCAGGTCTCAAACTTCTGACCTCAAGTGATCCGCCCACCTCAGCCTCCCACAGTGCTGGCATTACAGACATGAGCCGCCACGCCTGGCCTCTGTCCATTTTAACTGTGGTATGTTCACCATTATGTTTGAGAAAACACCTTTGAAACCATCCAGATGGTTAGCCTAGCAGTATGTTTTCTTATAGCAGATAATCTTAGCGTTCCACCTATACCCGCTCCCAACATTCACTTCTTTACTAGAACATCACTTTGAGATGCCAGATCTGGGTTTTGTGGCCCAAGGTCTTTTTCTTGCCCCTGGAGTCCTTTGCCTCTTGCTAGGCAAACTGGAAGTGCCAAGGAATAATGCCCCCCATGGTAGAAGTCCTCCACTAATGACTGATGGGAAGTAGAGATAGAAATCCCCCAGCAGGCCAGGCACAGTGGCTCATGCCTGTAATCCTAGCACTTTGGGAGGCCAATGTGGGTGGATCACCTGGGGTCAGGAGTTCAAGCCCAGCCTGGCCAACATGGAAAAACCCTGTCTCTACTAAAAATACAAAAATTAGCCTAGTGTGATGGCATGTGCCTATAATCCCAGCTACTCAGGAGGCCAAGGCAGGAGAATCGCTTGAACCTGGGAGGCAGAGCCTGCAGTGAGCAGAGACCCTGTCTCTCAATCAATCAATCAATCAATCCCCCAGCAACCTCACAGCTCAGGAGGAATAAGTCTGAGGTATATATATGACACTGGCTCCAGGAGCTTCTCCAGGAGGAGTTAAGCTTCGATTACCTGTCATAGTATCCAGCTGGATAATGTACTGTGTTGAGTTCCTCCCTGCCTTGCCGCTTCTTCCACCCTTTACCTATAGTTCTTTCCCTCCCGAATAACCTCCCTGTACTTGAAGCCTTATCCCAGCGTTGGCCTCTAGGTTCCCCCACCTAAGACAACGAAATCCCAATGCTTCCTGGAATCGCTGTAGAAACAGCCTACATGTTGATTCAAGAGGCTTTCTGAATCAAGGCAGGCAATATTAACCTTTAAGCCTAAGAAGTCCTCTTCTCAAGAATTAGTGCATCTTCAGTGCTTCGAGATCAGCTAGATACAATATCCCTTTTATTTGAACTACTTTTTCACTGCAAGTTCTGATCTTTAAATAGATTTTTGTCTATTGGGGTTTTTATTTTTTTGAGACAAGGTTGCCCTCTATCACCCAGGCTTGAGTGCAGTGGCACATTCATGGTTCACTGCAGCCTCAGCCTCCTGGGCTCAAGGGATCCTCCCGCCTCAGCCCCCCAAGGAGCTGGGACTACAGACACATGCCATTATGCCCAGCTAATTTTTTTTTTTTTTGGTAGATATGGGTTCTGCTATGAACTCAATCGATCCACTCACCCTGGCCTCCCAAAGTGCTGGGATTGCAGCATGAGCCACCGCACCTGGCCTGAACAGATTTTTGGATAGGAGCTCGTGTTAGTCAATTTATTCAAATTTAGCTCCCATTTTCCAGAACCACTGTCTTTACACTGAAACCCCATTAGTTTTCCCAAATCAAACTCCTGCCTTTTCAACCGCCTTTTCTTTTCTAACACACATCATGGTAAGGATGGATAGATTAGCCAGGTTCTTTTATGCCCTTCCCAATACAGTCTGGAATTAACTGACTTACCACTTCTCTCAGGCCTCTCTGGTCATGATTTTTATCACCTTCTTCCTGATTTGGCAGATGCTAAGGTTTGAATGTGTCCCCCAAAGTTCATATATTGGAAACTTAAGCCCCAGGGTAACACTGTTGAGAGGAAGGGACTCATTGGAGGCACTAATGTCATTACCCTGAGAGCGGGTTTGTTATCATAGGAGTGGACTTGTTTCAAAAGTGAGTTCAGGCTGGACGCGGTAGCTCACACCTGCAATCCCAGCACTTTGGGAGGCTGAGATGAAGAGGGAAATTAAATAATAACAATGGAAGTCTGTAATTGCTGCATAATAAAATAAAGTTTATGTGCTGTGTTGGATATAAAAGCTAACTCCCATCTCTGGTTAAGATTAACTCCCTGTAAACCCTGTCTTATCTGTTCTCCCCACATTCTCAGCAAAGTTCCCAGGCAGCTCAAGACTCCTGGTTTTCTTGCTGACCAGCTGAAAGGTCACAGGGCAAGATAACACCCAAAGAATGTACAATGCGTTTCTCAAAATGCTATTTTTCAAATGTAACATACATCACAAGACACTTTACAAATTAATTAACGGGTCTTTGCTTTGGCTTCTATAAACCTATTAGCTGCTAGGTCACCCTGAATATATAAAAAGTACCCCATTTTATTTGTCCAGCAGATACTAATCTGCTGAGCTGGGGGCCCCCTAATAAAATCCTCCTGTTTCACCTATTGGTCTCTACAGTCTCCTGAATATTCTGCAACAGAGGTGGGCAGGTCACCTGAGGTCAGGAGTTCGAGATCAGCCTAGCCAACATGGTGAAACCCCATCTCTACTAAAAATACAAAAATTAGCCAGGCATGGTGGTGTGCACCTATAATCCTAGCTACTCAGGAGACTGGGGCAGCAGAATTGCTTGAATCCAGGAGGCGGAGTTTGCAGTGAGCCGAGATTGTACCACTGCACTCCAGCCTGGGTGACAGAGCAAGGCTCCACCTCAAAAAATAAAAACGAGTTCAGCCCCTCTTGCTTATGCTATTGCGCTCTCTTGCCCCTCTGCCTTCTGTCATGGGATCAGAGGCAGCACAAAGGCCCTCACCAGATGCCAGTACCATGCTCTTGGACTTCCCAGCCTCCAGAACCATCAGCCAAATACACTTCTATTGTTTATACATTATCCTGTCTCAGGTATTCTGTTATAGTGACACTAAACAGACTAAGCAGCAGACCTGTAGGTGCTGATCATAAGAGGTCTTCTAAATCTGATGATACTTCCTTTTTCTCTTGGTAAAACCCACTGTAATAGGTGGAATAATCACCCCTAAAGATGTCCAGATCCTCATCCCTGGAACCTGTGAATATGTTACCTTGTATGACAGAAGAAACCTTGCAGATGTAATTAGGTTAAATAACTTGAGATGCAGAGATTATGCTGAATTTTCAGGGTGGGTCCATAAGGGTTCTCAAAAGGGCACTGGCTGAGTCGGAGTGAGAGAAAGTGATGTGATCATGAAACCAGCTGTCTGAGTGACGGGAGGAAGGAGCCATGCGGAAGCAAGCAGAAAGCCTCTTGAATCTGGAAAGGGCAAGAAGACAGAGTCTCTGCCTAGAATCTCCAGAAGAAACCATACCTTGTTTTTACCAAATAAGACCCATTTCAGACTTCTGGCCTTCAGAACTGTAGAAGAATCAACTAATGTCATTTTCCTCTACTCGGTTTGTGTTCATTCATTGAAGCAGCAATCGAAGGACACCTACACAGATCAGACGGAGCAAATACCGATCCTCAGTCTTGAAGTCAACATAGCTTCAATCATGGGCTTCCATATTTTGGCCATGAACTAAATTTTGGTTACAGATAACATCCATTCCAAGGAAGTTGGTCAGGCAGTCTTTTTTCCTGTAACAGTCCCAGGAATTAGCTTGAAAGTTCTAAATGCCACATCATCTTTCTGCAGCAAGTCTAATCACCTGCCGTTTGGGGTCCTTGTGACCAGCGTTTTCCCAATGTGTAGTATGACGGGCATAGCTGGTATTTTCGCATCATGCCAATCTTTCTCAGAAGATACACTTTCTTCTCGGCGCCTTTGTGGCCACCTTTTATAAAATGCTTGTCTCTACTCACTACAGTTCCTGGTGCTATCGAGAGGGCCAGCGACGCCCACTGCCAGATGCTCTTAGTAGATGGGTTTCTGCTGTGGTGTGCGACTCCGCCCACAGGCTGTGGTCCATAATGGCAACAGCCTCCCTACCAAGAAAACAGCCCAGTCCTGCTGCATGCCAGATGCTGGCGTTCAGCTTCAGTTATGGGGTTTCTTACTCCCAGTGGAGCACGCTGCAGTTTCACACTGCAGACTGAAGCAGCAACAGGGCCAGAGTGTCAAGTTTTGGTCCCAAACCAGGAATGAATGAACACTCCTGAAGAACTTCTTTTGCTCAGGGGTCAGAAACCTTTGAGTTTGCTCCCCTTTCACGGTGACACACATCAAGCCAGCAATTGCTCTTGACCCATACATTCCCCAAAGATCAGTGCTTCTCAAACCTGGTTGCACACTGGATTCTAACAAGGAGCTTTTTAAAAAAATTTATTTATTTTAGACAGAGTTTTGCTCTGTCACCCAGGATGGAGTACAATGGTGCAATCTCAGCTCACTGCAACCTCCACCTCTCAGGTTCAAGCAATTCTCCTGCCTCAGCCTCCCAAGTAGCTGAGATTACAGGCACCCGCTACCACGTCTGGCTAATTTTTTATATTTTTAGTAGAGATGGGGTTTCAGCACGTTGGCCAGGCAACTCCTGACCCCGTGATCCACCCACCTCAGCCTCCCAAAGTGCTGAGATTACAGGAGTAAGAGATTAAGTAAGTAATTACTGTGCCTGGCCACAAGGAGTTTTTAAAAAAAATACAAATGTCTAGGCTCCATCCCCTTACAGTTAAACCACAGTATCTGGGAGTAGGACATTGATTTTTATGTTTAAAAACCAAAAGCAAAATCTCCCAAGGTTATTTAAATGGTTAAAAGCAACAATTGAGATTGAAATCTATTGCCCTGGATTCCTGCTTTCTATAGAATGGTGAGCCAAAATCCAACCATCTCTGGGCTGCCACCCATGGGTCTAGATCCCAGGTAAGTACTTGGA